TCTTAACAGGGCGGGCGATCGGACGCCACGGCGAGGCGCGCCAGAACCATTGCTGAAAACATTGGATGTATACTAAACAATGAACCGCCGTGCCCCGCATTTGCGGGGCGGCCACCATCCGTCGCCTGCCCGGCGTGCTCGTTGCCACCTGAGGCTCTTGGTCGCGTAATATTTTGGCCCATTACATGTAGTAGTACGGTTCCAAAAGGACGTAGGAGTTCATCGCGTCGCTTTCCAGGTCCCAGTCCTGGCGGTCTCCCGGCTGCATGCAACTGTGGTAGACGGCGCCCATGACGGCGTAAGCAAGGATTATACACATCTCCGCGGCGTGGGTCTTCTCGCTGCATCTCTGCCCGTTGCCGTGATTGCCCTGTCCAGTTGAGTTGTGGCTTTGCCCTGAGCTGTGACTGCGCATCTTCCGTGGTTGGGTAGTAGTGTTGTCGTCCGTCGTAATTCTGGCACCTGCATTGCGAGTAATGCAGTCGGTCTCATTGCTGCGTGTCCAGTTATGCATTGGCCATAGGCCACGAGGTCCACCCCGTCAACGCCAACCATGTTTGTAACTTCTGGCAGTCGAAACCAGATGCCTGTTTCTCCAGTCGTTAACGGCGGCGGCAAACACCATGATCATAGGGGACCTTGCTGTTGATGCATATGTATGCCAGCAGTTCCGTAGTCCGCAATTTCTTGTCATACGTGCGTAGTTCTTCGAATGGCTAGGAGACAGGCGATGTAGCCCCCAAGGATGTCGTGCTCTTTGAACGGCGGGTTTGGCATCCATTTCATGTCTCGCTCGATGGTTCCGCAATAATGGCGGCCACCCGCACGCGTAGCAGCCGGTCTCTCCAGGAGCGTATCGAGTCCCATTTCGCGAGGTCGCTCTTGATCTCGTTGCAGGTAATGTCAGTGGATACTACTGTGATGCTGTTGTCGTGGTGACTGGGGGTTTCTATGTATTGCTGCACGTTGCCGCGAGGTCCCGGCATTGGCGTAGGTTCAGGCCTTGGTTCGTCTGGTACTATAGCTCCGCAGTCCTTGATGCACAGCGGTGGCACTACAGTCTTGTAGCTGGCTACGTGTGCGTGCAATGGGGGTAGTCAAGTCTTGATGTTGGCTCTGTGCTCGTCTCGTATAGTTTCTCCGTTTGCTTCGGTGGCTGCATCGTCGTGAGTGTCAACGTCGCGTCTGCCGGGTACCGCACATGCCTCACATGCTGGTAGTTGCTTGACGAATATTCCAAGTGTGCGTGGTAGTCGCTGGAGCATGCCAAGCATCTCGTCCCATGAGACCATATTGTTGGGTGGTCGTTTTTTGGATGGTTACATCCTATGTGTGCATAGAATGCGTTGACATCCAAAAAGGTGGATCCACCGTCGTAACACATAATGGTTTTGTCGTTGTACTTGCCGCCGGTGATGAGTATTGGGACCTATTTGTTGTCTTGGTAAAGTGAGAGGATATTGCGCCATTGTCGAATGTGTTCGAGGTCGAAGTTGCGTCGTATGTGGCGCTATGCCTCATTCTTGGCATGGGCCGTACGTACTTGGGGGGTGCACGAATTGACCTGACGACGGGGTCGAGGTCTCGGTAAGGTGCAGCTTGTGGTCGTCGTCGACGTATGTCCACATCCATTGACGGTCGTGGCACATCATCCGTCCCCATGACGGCTCGGTGTTGAGGTTGGCGTCAATGACTCGTAATACTATGGTTGGAGCATGTTGTAGTAGTCTTGGTCAATACCTTAGCCTGGAGATGCGCATTGCCATGTTCGCCCCTGGGCGTTTGACGTTGGCGAGCACCGTGACGTTGTGGATCTTCTGGTTGTCGTTGCTGTTGGCTTTGTATCCAACCGCCATCCTGTATCCCTTGAAGTACTCTGTCTCGATAGTATGGAGCTGTCCCTGGTTCAGCGGGTTCCATGTGTGAGCTGTAGAAGAAGACCGAGTTGGTCAAAGCGTCATTGAGGAGAGTCTTGCTGTCGGTGCTTAGATGCTCATCCTCCTCATCCTCCTTTTCCTCCTCCTCCTCCTCCTCCACCTCCTCCATTCCCTCCTCCACCTCCTCCTCCTGCTCCTCCTCCTCCTCCTTCTCCCCTTCCCTTCCTCCTCCTCATCCTCCTCTTCCTCCTCCACCTCCTCCCTCCTCCCTGCTCCCTTCTCCCTACGCCCTCCCCATCCGACCTTCCTCCCCTCCTGCCTCCCGCTTGCGTATCCGCCTCCCTTTTCCCTCCCGACTCCTCCCCCCCCCCCTCCTCCCTCCTCCCTCCGATCGGGAAATCGGATCGACTCGGAGCACGATCCAAGCGCGGAGAGTAGATGGCATGACGATCACCAGACGTGCTTCCTCGAGCGTTCCCCTCCGTCGGAAACGTGAAGTGACGTCACCACCGACAGAGCAGGATTCGAGCGCGGTCGAGCTAATTGCATCTAGCGTTGTGGACGAAAAAGTAGCTGGTGGCCCAGGCCCGACACTCAAACACATCCAGAGGGAGGGGGAGGAGGAGGAGGAGGAGGAGGAGGAGGAGGAGGAGGAGGAGGAGGAGAGCCCTTGCCCGACTCGGGGGCGCGGACACCCCCCCCAGTCCTCGACACAGGGGTGGGGGGTCCCGGAGCGGGCGACAGGCCAAGCGCGCCACCGGGCTTTGGCTGCCGATGAGCCCGCGACGCTCCTCGAAAACGACGTGTCCATTGCTAGGCGGTACGAAAATGCCCCAGCAGCAGAACCTACCCCTCCAAGGCCAGCCACCTCCTCCTCCTCCTCCTCCTCCCTTCCTCCTTCCTCCTCCTCCTCCTCCTCCTCCTCCTCCTCCTCCTCCTCCTCCTCCTCCTCTCCTCCTCCTCCTCCTCCTCCTCCTCCTCCTACCCCTCTCCTCCTCTCCTCTCCTCCTCCTCCTCCTCCTCTTCCTCCTCCTCCTCCTCCTCCTCCTCCTCCTCCTCCTCCTTCTCCTGGTCCTCCTCCTCCGAGGGTCTGGGGGCCAGGCAGATCACAGACATCGGGCGAAGCGCGGGCAGGCGAGCGGCCCGCCGCAGGCGGACAGCGGCTCTGGCAGCAGCTCTCAGAAACCACTTCAACGGCGACGCCATCAAGCCTGACACCGCCAATGACACCAACTACAGTCGGACTTCATTGGACAGGACACGCGAGAGGACAAAAGACCCTTCCGACGGCCACGTCGCCACAGGAATGCAGGAGGCACGCGTCGCGAGGCACAGGACACAAAGGTACCCTTGATTTGGCAGGGTCGACCTACTAATCCGGGCCGACTGTACCGCCACACCCCCGAGTACATGGTCATAGAGGTCCCCAATTACTCACCGGAACGCCATGGATACAGCCGCGGCCTACCAGGCCACCAGGAAGCTGGGCCGGGACCCATCCCAACGCCAACGATGCTTACGGCGACGACGGGGTTCTCCGCCTGCCTCCCTACATCCCGGCGTGCGCCTACTACTCCTACACCCGCAACCTCTTGCCCCACGGCCCCGACGACGGACCCCACGCCCCCCCCCCAGCCACGCCCCGAGAGGCCGCATGCCCTGCGAGGGAGCCCGGGGGGGGGGGCATGCCCGGGGAAGCAGCCAACAGGGACCGCTGGCCAGGCCAAGAGCTGGCGCCGCCCGCCGCGCGGAGGGCTCGGCATCCCCAGTGGCCGCATGCCCTGAGAGGGAGCCCGCGGGGGGCATGCCCGGGGAAGCGGCCAGTGGGGAAAGCCGAAGCCACACCCCCTGGAGCCCCCCCCCCCGACCCACCACCACGACGGCTCCCACGACCCCCGCGACGGCCCCCCACGACGGCCCCCCACGACGGCCCCCGCGCACGCGTGCCCTCATCCCCCCGCGACGACCGCCACGACGGCCCCCGCCCCGACGCCCACCCCCACCCGGCGACCGCCGCGGCGGCCGCGCCCCGAGTGGCCGCATGCCTCGAGAGGGAGCCCGCGGGGGGCACGCCCGGGGGAGCGGCCATGAGGCCGGCAGGCCCGCCCGCGGCCTGCGCCGCTGGCTCCTCGGCGGGGCTCCGAGCGGCCGCCTGCCCCGAGAGGAAGCCCGCAGGGGGAAGCGGTCATGATGGGACAGCCGAGCACCCACGAGACGCCCCCCACGACGGTCCCCGCGACGTACCCCACGACGGACCCCCACGACGGACCCTGCGACGACCCCCCCTCCTCGGCCTCCCTCCCCGACGTCCCCCCCTCCGCGAGGGGAGCCACTGCCCCCTGCCCCACGACCCCTCCCTGCCCCACGACCCCCTGCCTTACGAACCCCACGACCCCGTGCCCTGCCCGACGGCCCCCGCGACCCCCTGCTCAGAGGCCCCCACGACGGCCGCGCCACGAGTGGCCGCATGCCCTGCGCGGGAGCCCGTGGGGGACATACCCGGGAAGAGAGGAGGAGGAGGAGGAGGAGGAGGAGGAGGAGGAGGAGGAGGAGGAGGAGGAGGAGGAGGGGGAGGAGGGGAGGAGGGGGAGGGGAGGAGGAGGAGGGAGGAGGAGGAGGAGGAGGAGGAGGAGGAGGCGGAGGAGGAGGAGGAGGAGGAGGAGGAGGAGGAGTCGGTGGCGAGGAGGAGGGGGAGGAGGGAAGGGGAGGGGGAGGTGAAGGGGGAAGAGGAGGAGAAGGAGGATGAAGGGAAAGAGAACGATGGCCATACGACCGAATGCAGAAACGTCGGTGCTGACTTGGGTCATCGTCGCTTCGTGGATCATTCTCGCAAATAGGCGGCGACCGGCATGGACCATGACCAAAATCGGCGTCGACTAGATTCCGCGACATCTTGGTCACGGTCATCGGGGGAACCTGAAGGGACCCACACCGCTGCCGGACCTTTCCATGGGTGCGTCCTGACCAGAATTTTAAGTCGAATCCAGCCATGGCGACGACGGCCTCCCAGGAGGCGCAAAAATGCGAAAACGAGGGAAGGGTAGCAGCGATAGCGGTAGTGGCATCGGTACCTTCTCCTCCTCTGAGTCATCGTGCTCCCTCCCTCGAGGGGGGGGACCTCGCCTCCGCGCCCTGCGCGCGCTGCTCCGCCGTGCGCTCCTGCAGCTGCGACAGCAGCTGCCGCTGCACGCGCAGCTGCCGCTGCTGCTCCAGGGCGGAGGCGGGAGCCTCCTCGGAGCATCGTCTGACCGATCCCTACCGCCGCTGGCGCAGCCTGGGCCCCACTAGCCGAGTGACCCCCCCCCCGCAGATGGGGATATACTGGGATCGGGGGGGGGGGGGGCCAAGGGGACAGAGGGGGATGATCAGTGGATGCAAGGGTGGGTTCAGGTCTGGACCAACCTAGCTTACGATTGGGATACAAATGCCCCAAGTGGCTTATGAGGGGGGAACTCCGCTGAGCGGGCGGAGCGAACTTAGCCTGCATCGATAAAATCCCCAAGCCACTTGGGGCAGTTGTGACCCACTTCTAAGCTGAATTAGGTCAGATGTAACACACCCTGGCATAAACTGATCACCCCCCTTTTCCCCTTAGCGACCCTGGCGCCGATCCCAGCAAGTTGGGATCTAGGCTGTTCCCTCTGGGCTTCGAAGGGCCTGACCCCCAACTGGAGGGGGGGGGCGGTGGGGCTGAGATGCCATGGCCTGGTGGGGACGGGGATTCGGCGCCGAGGAGGAGGAGGAGGAGGAGGAGGAGGAGGAGGAGGAGGAGGAGGGGGAGGGGGAGGCGGAGGCGGAGAGGGACGGAATCCGAGACGCCCGCGCGGAGCTCCAAAAGACTGTGCAATCGCCGCTCTCTGCCCCTCGATCCTCGGAGAGCGCGCCGCCCATCCGAGGAGCCGCCGCCTCCTCGCGGCCGCGCCGCCCTCGCGCGAGCGAGGGCGGCCGCTGCGACAGAAAAAAACGCCACCGAGGGCGCGGCGCGCCGGCTGAAGGCTCGAGCCGAGCGGCGGCGACAAGGGCGCCCTCGGAGGCGCGCCCCTCGCAGGGGATCGGCCCCTCGCCGGCCCTTCTCCTCGCCCGCGCCCCCCTCCTCCTCCGCCCTCCTCCCGCTCCATCGGCCCCTCCTCCTCCTCTCCTCCTCCTCCTCCTCCTCCTCCTCCTCCTCCTCCTCCTCTCCCTCCTCCTCCTCTCCTCCTCTCCTCCTCCTCCTCCTCCTCCATCCTCCTCCTCCTCCCCCTCCTCCTCCTTCCTCCTCCTACCCTCCTCCTCCTCCTCCTCTCCTCCTCCTCCTCCTCCTCCTCCTCCTCCTCCTCCTCCTCCTCTCCTCCTCCTCCTCTCCTCCTACCTCCTCCTCCTCGCTCCTCCTCCTCCTCCCCCTCCTCCTCCTCCTCGCTCCTCCTCCTCCTTCTCCTCCTCCTCCTCCTCCTCCTCCTCCTCCTCCTCCTCCTCCTCCGCCGCCACTCGCCCTCGCCCACGCCCTGTACTGGCACCTCGGCGCGCTCGGGCGGGGCGTCGTCGCCCGGTGCCCCCCGCGGGTCGCGCCGTGTGGGCGGCCCCGGGGCCCTCGGCAAGCGGGCTGCAGGATCGAATCGACGAGCCGGGTGGGCGACGGATCGGATCGGCGGAAAATGGCAGCCAAGACAGGAGGAGTCGAGTCGGCGGAACTGGGCAGGCTGGTAGGGCCTCAATCGGGAGATCGGGATCCAGATCGAATCGACAAGCCGGATGGGCGACGGATCGGATCGGCGGAAGATGGCAGCCAAGACGGGAGGAGTCGAGTCGGCGGAACTGGGCAGGCTGGTGGCTGGTAGGGCCTCAATCGGGAGAGCGGGATCCAGATGGGAATGCCAAGCCGCATCGCCTCGGGACCAGGACGCCATCGAGGCGACGGAGGGGGCGGATCGGACCCCCGCCCGCCCCGTGAAGGGGGGGAAAGAGGGCGAGGCGTTCGACTCTTGAAGTAGGAAGGTGCCGAAAGTAGACTGGTACTTGGAAAGCAACAAATAGAGTCGTTCAATGACCGATGGGTAGGCTGGAAGGAAGCCTTGGGGTGGGGCGGAAGACAGGATGCGAGAAAGAGAAAGAGAGAGAGAGAGAAAGAAAAATAAAGAGAGAGAGAGAGAGGAAAAAGAGAGAGAGAGAGAGAGAAACAAAAAAAAAGAAATGAGATCCAGTGTTCGAGGTCCTAGTCCACGTTTTGGCCCTGGGGTGATACTATTGCTGTCCTGCCAGGCTTCCCGTGCGACCGTGAGATTGTGACCAAAAATTCAAAAATGAGAGCCCCCGAGACACCGCGTTTGCAACAGCATAACACGTACTGGCCAGGGTGTTCAAAATCACCTCCAGAAAATGATTGTACTGCTCCTTGTTACTCCTCATCATTCCTCCTTCGCGTCCTTCCTTCCACAATCAAACACACACTTTTGAAAAATGTTCTAACCGTGGCAAATGAGAGGGCCCCACATGATTCAAGAACGCGAGCACGAGGGGAAATAGGGATACCACTACGGCAGGCTCGTGCCGTGACGATTTTCGCGTTGGGTTCTGACACCGCGGGGATCGCTCAGCCTTGAACGATCGAGGCTGTCACACCGCGCGGATCGTCGAATACTGCCCGATTCCGGACCGCTGGCAGACTTCGACCTTGAACGCTCGCGATGGCGTGCCGCCGCGTCGAAACTGCGCGAAAGTGGCGTACGCTTGCACACTGTCCCAGCAAGGGGCGGCGGGGGGGGAGAGGGACACTCGCGTCGAGTCCAACCACATGACATACATCTTCAAAAACCACAAACTGCTTGGTTCCATCCCACCGGCACCCACGAAGGCGTCCATGCCGGCTTGGCCACGGGCAGAAGTTTTCGCGTCACACCAAAAAAGCCTGACTCTCGAGCCAGATACACAAGGCCACGTCGAGGCAAGCAGCGGGCGCGTGCAAGTCTGGCCAGTGGCAAGCAACGCACAGCTGACTGCAGGACCACCAAAGAGCGAGATCAAATGAGAACGGTAATGAGAAGAGTGTGGACCGCACGGCGCACAACGAAAGCGACAATGACAAGAGCGGGAGACGATACCGAAGCTAATGTGACAGAACGCCACGTGCACCTGGCGACTCACCTGCAAAACTGAAATCGGCATGGTTGAAGAGACATGATAAGACCAGGTGGAAGGGACTCGCCAAACAGTCAACGAATGCAGGCATTGCTTCTAATGCACGCTCGGTGGTGCACACACGTCGGAATGGGCTTGCAGGCGTTTGCACGGACTGCGACGCCGCTGGCACATCTTTACAGCCAATCTGGAAAGCAATTGTCAAACAATATTGCCTTTCCATTGACCCCATATTTGCTTAGGTGTAATATACGATTGCCGCTTATCCTGCGCGGCAAGGATTTTTCCCCTGCTGAGCCGATTTATCGTGCGACATGGCTTGCGAACGAACGAACGTGTAGAATCCGCCGACCCCAAGGAGGCGTGTGCGGAAAAGCGCGTCGTAGAGCCGCTCATCCTGAGCCCCCCTCCCCGCATCCGACCCTGCCCCAAGGTGGAAGCCACCCCGACCTTCACCGCGCTCGGAACCGAGACCCAGTATCCCCACTTTTTTCTGTTTAAGGGCCACTTCCCCCACCCTTAATGAGTTAAGCAGTTTATTTTGGACGCCCGAATTGGGTACGAAAAAAGATGGGCACAATGCCCAACAACAAAAGTTCTCCCAAACCAAGAGCGGCCGATGTTGGGCAGGCGGCCTTCTGTCTCGAATGGACAAAGGCCGCGGCGGCGCGGACAGCGAGTCCTGTTCAAAATGAACAGGAACTGCTGTTGGGCATTGTAACCATTTTTCCCGTGCCCATTTCGTTCGCGCGGATCTATTTTTGGGACCCCCCACATACGATAATTCCTGGCACGGAACCGTTCCGCCGCCGACCCGGCCCAGCCCTGCGACCTCCGTTCCTGGGCCACCCCACCCGACAATTTCGCGCCCGAGACCGCCCCGCTGTCGACCTAGTCCGACACTCCCACCGAGCTCTGGGACCCTCTTTTTTGGGTCACCCCTAGGGGAACAAAAAGTCACATAAACATATAAAAGCTCGGAGGTCCGCGCGGATTTCTCGGATCGGCGCTGGACCCCCCTCCCTGGCGCGCGGAGCGCGCCAGGGGCGGCGCCGGAGGCGCCGCCGGGGGGCCCCAGCGCCGATCCGAGAAATCCGCGCGGACCTCCGAGCTTTTATGCTTATGCCACTTTTTGCTCCCCTATTTTGGGCCACCCCACCCGCCCTGAACCTCTGTCCTTGGGGCCCCACGCCCGCCCATTTCCAGCCCGCAACCGCCCCGCCGACCCCCCGCCGTCGGCCTGGCCCGGCATCCGCAACCTGCCCTGGGACCTCTGTTTGCTGGCGACCCCCCGCCCGACAACTTCCAGCCCGACACCGCCCTGCCGGACCGCCCCCGCCGTGGACCTGGCCCGGCACACTCACCATGCCCTCGGACTGTTGTTTTCTACGGGCCCCCCAGCCGACGAACCCGAAGGCGCCCCTCTGACACCCCGCCGTCGACCTGGCCCAGCATCCCCACCCTGCCCTCGGCCCGTGGTTTTCTGGGGACGCCCCACCAGACACGTTCCAGCCCGAAACCGCCCCGGCGTCGACCTGGCCAAGCATCCCCACCCTGCCCCGGGATCTCTGTTTTCTAGCGACCCCCCAATTACCCAAAAATTTCCAGCCCGCCGACCCCCGCCGTCGACCCGGCCTGGCAGCCTCGCCATGCCCTCGGAACCCCCACCCGACAATTGCCACCCCGAAACCGCTCCGCGGACCCCCCGCAGACGACCTCGCTGGGCACCCCCACTCCCCCATGGGACCTCTGTTTTCCAAGGGGCCCCCGCGCGCGACGCTCTCCAGCCAGAAACCGCGCCGCCGATGCCCCGCCGTCGACCTGGCCCGGCACCCCCACGCTGCCCTGGAACTTCGGTCCCCTACGGGACCCCCCATCCGACAAGATTCAACCCGACACCGCCCCCCGCCGTCGACCTGGCTCGGCACCCCCACCCCGCCCTGGGACTCGTGTTTGCTCGGGGCCGCCCGCCCGATATTTTCCAGCCCGACACCACGCCCCCGCCGCGGACCCCGCCCAACATCCTCACCCTGCCCTGGGACTTCTGTTCTCTGCGGAGCCCCCGCCCGACAAAATCAGGCCCGGAACCGACCCCCCGCCGTCGACCTGGCCCGCCCCCCCGACCCTGCCCCAGGCCCTCTGTTTCCTAAGGCCCCCCCCTCCCGACAATATATAATAATATATATATATATATATATATATATATATATATATATGTGGTCCGACACCGCCCCCGCCGTGGACCTGGCCCGGCGCCCCCACCCTGCCCTGGGACCTTTGCGTTCTGGGGACTTCCCAGCCAACGACTTCCAACCCGAAACTGCCCCGCGGACCCCCACCGTCGACCTCGCCCGGCATCCCCACCCAGCCCTGCGACCTTCGTTTTCAAGATCCCCCCCCCGACAACTTCCGGCCCGAAACAGCCCCGCCGACTCCCCGCCGTCAACCTGGCCCGGCACCCCCACCATGCCCTCGAATCCCGTTCTCTCTACGGGCCCTCCACCAGGCAATGTCCAGCCTGGAACCACCCCGCTGCCGACCCCTCGCCGTCGACCTGGCCGGGCCCAGCCACCCTGCCCCTGGAACCTCGTTTTCTGGCCCCCCCCGCACCTGACAATTTCCAACCCGAATCCACGCCGCCCTTCCCCCGCCGTCGACCTGGCCCCGCATCCCCATGCCCTGGGATCGTTTTCTAGCAACCACCCACCCGACAATTTCCAGCCCGAAATCTCCCTGCTGACCCGCCGTCGTCGACCTGGCCCAGCACCCCCAACATGCCCCCGGACTTCTGTTTATAAGGACCCCCACCCAACAATTGCCAGCCCGAAACAGCTGCGCCGACCCCCTGCCGCCGACCTAACACGGCATCTCCACCCCGCCGCAGGACGCCCACGAACCTTTATCCTCTTGCACAGGGTGTCTAGAGCTCCGACCACTTTATTCCGCGTCGCACGCACCCCCCCCATCCCCACGTCCCCAGCGCCAGAGCGGGCCCCCCGCGCCGCGGCTCTCTGCCCCGAGCTCCCCCGCCCCAGCGCCCCAGCGGGAGCCCCGCCGGCCGCCCCCTCGCCCACGAACGCATTCCTTGTCGCACATCCCCCCCCGCCCCGCGCCCCCAGCGCCAGAGTGGGACCGCCGCGCCGTGGCTCTCTGCCCCGAGCCTCCCCGCGTCCCCAGCGCCCCAGCGGGGGCCCCGCCCACTGCCCCCTCCGCCACGAACGATTTTTTCCGCGTCGCACACACACCCTCCCCCCGCGCCCCCAGCGCCAGAGCGGGACCCCCGCGCCGCGGCTCTGCCCCGAGCCCCCCCGCGCCCCCAGCGCCCCAGCGGGAGCCCCGCCCACTGCCCCCTCCGCCCCGATAATTTTATTCCGCGTCGGGACGCACACCACCTGCCTCCCCGTCCCCAGCGCCCCAGTTGGACCCCCGCCCCGTGCCCCTCTGCCCCAAGCCCCGCCCAATGCCCCCTCCGCCCCGACAATGTTATTCCGCGTCGCGACGCACACCACCTCCCCACCCCTCTCCGCGCCCCCAGCGCCCCAGCGGGACCTCCGCTCCGTGCCCCCTCAGCCCCGAGCACCTTATTCCGCGTCGCGACGCACGCCACCCCCCCCCCTCTCCCCACCTGGGATTTGGGCCCCGTTGCTGGGCCCCGAGGGGCGATGTCTTGCCCCCGCTCCCCCCTCCTCCCCCTCCACCTCCTCCTCCTCCCCCTTCCCTTTTTGTGCAAGAGCCATGGCACACGTGCCACTTGTTTTCTAAAAACTCCCCACCCCACAATATCGAACCCGACTCCGCCGACCCCCCGCCGTCGACCTGGCCCCACACCCCCGCCCTGCCATGGCACGTCATGAGACCTCGGATTTCTAAGGAAACCCCACCCGACACCTTCCAACCAGAAACCGCCTAGCCGACCGCCCCCGCCGTCGACCTGGCCCAGCATCCCCAACCAGCCCACGGGCCTCTGTTTTCCCAGGACTTCCCTGTCGACAATTTCCAACCCGAACCCGCCCCGCCGACCCCCCGCCGTCAACCTATCCCAGCATCCCCACCCTGCCCTGGGACTCCCGTTTTCTATGGGCCCCTCGAGCGACATTCTCCAACCCGAAACCGCCCCGCCGCCCCCCCGCCGTGGACCAGACCCAGCACCCCGGGCAAAGCGGCCCGAAATTGTCCCGCAATGGCACGAGGTGGTGATCCAAATTGGCGGCCGGCGGGCTGCGCCAAACTTAAAATTATCCCGGGAAAGCAAGCTAACAGCGATGTGTATAAGCATATCTGGAAGCATCCCCCTTAATATTCAAGTGAGAATCCAGTTGTAGAAATCTGCTGTTCTCGCAGTCGCAGTCGCATTCGCAGTGACAGTCGCAGTGGCAACGGCCTTAGGATCCAGTGGAATCCTAAGGATTCCTATGGATTCCTAAGGCATCCTTAGGCATCCTTAGGAATCCATAGGAATCCTTAGGACTCCTGAGGAATCCTTAGGACTCCTGATTCCTAAGGATTCCTAAGGATTCCCAAGGATTCCTAAGGATTCCTGAGGAATCCGAATGATGCCCAAGGATTCCTGGGGATGCTGAACTATGCCTACGGATTCCTAAGGATGCCTACGGATTCCTAAGGATTCCTACGGATTCCTCAGGATTCCTACGGATGCCTCAGCCTGCCTCAGTTTCAGCCTCAGCCTCAGCCTGCCTCGGCCTGCCTCAGCCTCAGCCTCAGCCTGCCTCGGCCTCAGCCTCAGCCTGCCTCAGCATCAGCCTCAGCCTGCCTCGGCCTCAGCCTGCGTCAGCCTCAGTCTCAGCCTGCCTCAGCCTCAGCCTGCCCCAGCCTCAGCCTCAGCATCAGCCTCAGCCCCAGCCTCAGCCTCAGCCTCAGCCTCAGCCTCAGCCTCAGCCTCAGCCTCAGCCTGCCTCAGCTTCAGCCTAAGCCTCAGCCTGCCTCGGCTTGCCTCAGCCTCAGCCTCAGCATGCCTCGGCCTCAGCCTCAGCCTCAGCCTGCCTCAGCCTCAGCGTCAGCCTCTCGGCCTCTCAGCCTCAATCTGCATCAGCCTCAGCCTCAGCCTGCCTCAGCTTCAGCCTGCATCAGCCTCAGTCTCAGCCTGCCTCAGCCTCAGCCTGCCTCAGCCTGAGCCTCAGCCTGCCTCGGCCTCAGCATGCGCCAGCCTCAGCCTCAGCCTGCCTCAGCCTCAGCCTGCCTCAGCCTCAGCCTCAGCCTGCCTCAGCCTCAGCCTCAGCCTGCCTCGGCGTGCCTCAGCCTCAGCCTCAGCCTGCCTCGGCCTCAGCCTGCCTCGGCGCGGGCATTCAAAATATGGCACAGGACTGGCGTTCTGGGAACACGAAGATCACGAAGTAGCCCACGGTTGGCTCCGGGCAATCAAATTATTGTACAGGAGTGGTGTTTTGGGAACACGAAGAACACGAAGTGGCCTACAGTTGGCTCCAGGCATTCAAAATGTGGCCTGGGAATGGTGTTCTGGGAGCACGAAGAACACGAAGTGGCCTACAATTGGCCCCGGGCATTCAAAATGTTGCCTGGGAATGGTGTTCTAAGAGCACGAAGAACACGAAGTGGCCTACAGTTGGCTCCGGGCATTCAAAGTGTGGCCTGGGAATGGTGTTCTGGGAACACGAAGAACACGAAGTGGCCTACCGTTGGCTCCGGGCATTCAAAATGTGGCCTGGGAATGGTCTTCTGTTGGCTCCGGGCAATCAAAATGTCGCTCCTGGCAATCAAAATGGAGAGTCCCCGGATTCCCGCGGCACCCGTCCAGCATCTGCCCAGACCCCCCTGGGGAGTCATGATGCTTTCTCTTGAAACCACTAGAAACCGATCAGTCTTCGCTGTCTGGTAAAAACATAGCGTTCGTACGGGGGTCTCCTGGACCCTGGCGGCCCTCTCGCGGCCCCCATTGGACCCCCTCGAGGCCCCCTTCGGGGGGCCCACCAAAGGACTCCAAGGCGCATGAAGGCCCAAGAAGTGCCTCAGAGGGCCCCAAGACGGCTGCCAGAGGGCTCCAGGAGGGGCCCAAAGAAGGGCCAAATCACCTTATAAAACTCACCGTTGTTACAACTATTTCCCTGCCCTCTGAACGCCCTCCCGGGGCCTTCGCGGAGCCGTTTCAGGGCCCTCTTGGGCCTTCCCCAAGGCCCTCATAAGGCCTAAGAAGGGCCCAAGCGGGCCCCAAGAAGGTCTGAAGGAGGTGGATTGGCCCGTCCCTAGTGAATCCACAGATCCTGGGACCTCTTCAGCCATGATCCCACGTATACTCCTACTCCTATCCATACTACTACTCCTACGCCTACTACTACTACTACTACTACTACTACTACTACTACTACTACTACTACTACTACTACTACTACCACTACCACTACCACTACCACTACTACTACTACTACTACTACTACTACTACTACACTAATACTACTACTACACTACTACTACTAACTTAC